GCTTGGTGATGCTTGATAGATCATTGCTAGTGATAATTATATCATCCACATAAAGCAAATGAAGAATAAGGTCTTGTTCAGTCTTTCGACTAAATAAGGCAGAATCATTGGGACTTGAAGAAAATTCAAAGGAGTTCATAATTGCACTGAACTTTGCATACTAAGCCCGAGGCGATTGTTTGAGCCCATATACGGCCTGATGCAATCTACACACTTTGTTGGGCGGATGATCATAACCAAGTGGTGATTGTATATAGACTTCTTCCTTAAGCTCACTATTGAGAAAAACATATTTGACATCCATCTGAAATAAATGTCATTTTCAAACTACAACAATTGCTAATAAACTTCTAACTAAAGTGAGACGTGCAATAGGAAAAAATGTCTCTTCATAATCGATTCTATACTCTTGAGTAAAACCCCTGGCCACTAGACGTGTGATAATCCTATTTTTCATAGTGATTTTGCATTGAATTTCAATAGGATTTATGATACTTTTCATACATTTTGGGTCATAATTGATACTTAATTCTATTAATTGTGCTTTGCAGGCCTAAACGATGATTATTAGCATAAATGATGGTTTTGAGTGTAAATGGCATAACTTGAACTTGTTAAGTCAGAATGACTTGAATCTAAAAGCTATGGAAAGATAGGAAGCAGATATACAACTTTTTATGTTTTGGGTTTTTCCTAATTCTGATTGGAAGAGGGTGAAAACTTGGCTTGAAGTGGTGAACAACTTGTTTGCGAACTGAATAAAACATGCTTCAATATTTTGGCTATCACTTGAGTTGTAGACCTCAGATTGGGATGATTCTTAAACGATTGGAAATATCTCCAAATTCAAACACTATCGTGCTCAATGTTGGCCATTTATGCTTTGTCGCAATAATGTACTTTATAACATTCCACAAACTCATCTAAAAGAGTTTTGATCTTGTAGACCCACTTACAACCCAGAAGTGTTTTATTTGGTGGAAGATCTATCAACTCCCATGTCCTCGTCTTCTCTAGAGCTTTGATCTCTTCGTCCATTGCTTGTTAAAGAGGGTTAGAGCGAGCCTCATGATAAGAGTGAGGCTCATGTAAGGAGACTGTAATTGAGAAATAATGAAAATCAATAAGAAGGGAAGAAGGTTCTCTTACACGAGTAGAACAACGAAGAGCCAGAGTATCTGACTCATTGGGGAGATCAGAATGTGTCACAGGTGCCGAATCCTCAGAAGATGCAAAATCATCGAGAGCAGACGTTAGAGGAATGACATGGTCAAGCTCATAAGAGGTACCTACATTAGATGGAAATAATTCTACAAAAGAGTGAGTAATAGGGGAAGAAGATGAGATACAAAATTTTGACAAAGAAGAGAACATTATATGTTCCCAAAATATTACATGACTAGAGACACGTAAGCGTTGGGAGATGGGATCCCAACACGATACCCCTTATGTTCTATACCATATCCCAAGAAACAACACAAGCGAGCATGCAGTACAAGTTTGGACCGCTCAAACACTTTTAAGAGACTATAGTTGGAAGAGCAGCTAAGAAGATGCTCATAAGGAGTTTGATTATTTATGATAGGAGAAGGCATGCAATTGATGATGAAAATGACAGTAAGGGCGGCCTCTTCCCAGAATGATTCGAGACAAGAAGATGATAGAAGAATGGCACAAGCGGAATCCAAGATATGTCGATGTTTGCATTCGACACAACCATTATGTTGAAAGGTTCCAAAACAAGATAGTTGAATGATGGTTCCATTGGCAAGACAAAATTCATTTAGGGTAGAATCATAATACTCTATGGCATTATCAGTACAGAGCATTTTTACTTTCTTGGAATATTGTATAAGTATCATGATCACAAAGTTTTTATATGTTTGAAAGACTTCAGGCCTATTTTTCAAGGGGTATATCCAAGTCAAATGAGAAAAATCATCTATAAAAATGACAAAGTACTGTGAACCTCCCATAGCACTAGTTGGTGTAGGACCCTAAACATCAATGTGAATTAAATCAAAGAGAGCGTAAGAAACAAAGTCAATATTATTAAAAGGCAAAGTAGGTTGTTTAGATAAAGGACATGACACACAATAAAATGTTTCAAGTTTATTAGAACCAAGGTGGCCACTGGAAACAAGTGAACGTAATTTAGTCAGGAAAATGTGACCTAAACGAAGATGTCATAAGTGAGAAGTGGATAAGGTAGATGCGGTTGACAAGGAAGTAGATACTTTAGAAGATGAAAACTGGATGCAAGTGAGCTCGATCAAGCATCCCATCTTACGCCCTGTCTGAGAATCCTGCACATGACAACCATAAGTAGAAAAGGTAATGTCAAGACCAAATTCACCCAGTTGACCAATGGAAACAAGATTATATGAGTTTTGGAATAAGAAAAGTATTGGGTGGAGACATAGTTGGAGTAGAGATGGTTCTAACATGACTAACATGAATATGAGAACCGTCTGCAGTATGAATGACAGGTGTATTTGAATTAAGAGATGTATCAGATAGGACTGATGAATCAGGAGTCATATGATTACAACAGGCAAAATCAATAAGCCATAGAATAATACCTGAAGTAGTGGACAAGGCAGTGTGCAGACTAGAAGAATGAGACAAAACATGTTTAATGAGAGGCTTTATATCATGAAGGCTAGGCTGGGATGGAGTTGGGTATGTCTTAGTGATAATGACAGCAACATGTGAAGAAGATATATATTTTCCAAGCTAGGGACAATGAGACTTGGTATGACCATTCTTTTTGCCGTAATTGCACTTAATGCTTAGGCAATAAAGAATGAGATGTCTATTCTGGTGACAACATTTATAAACAAGTGAATCAGAGTGCTAGGTCGGACGATCTTGAGACTGCTTGTCAAGAATAGTGGTGAGGATTGCATTTGATTTTTTTATACCCTGGGTGTGAAACCGAGTATCATTAGACTAGAGTTCAAAGAAAGCTATGTCCAAAGTTGGCAAAGGCATATGATGAAGGAGCATGGATCGAGTAGACTCATACTCTGTGGTGAGAGCCATAAAAAACTGGATCAAACGCATATGATCACGATGTTTTTCATATTGAGAGGCATCTGTAGTTCATGACCAACTAAGATTAGGTTGAGCTAGCTAATCCCACATAATTTGCATCTGAGTATGGAAATTTGCGATAGACTAAGTGGGCTCCTGTCTTATGTGTTATAGAGACTACTAGAGTTGATACTGATGAGAGAGTCTTTTGATAGTGAACCGAGTGGCAAGCGTATCCTAGACTTCTTTTGCAATTTCATAGCGGCTGAACTGGAGATGAAGAGACAGAATAGAAGAATTTCGTAACCATGTAATAATCTGTTGCTATCTCAATTACCAAGTCTCTAACTAAACTTGGCATCATCTTTAGTGTCTCCTTTAATTGGTGTTTTAATATCGCTTGTCACGTAACGCCAAAGTTTTTGTCCTTTTAGAAAAGACGGCATTCCTTGACTCCATGAGATGTAAGAATTAGTGCCATCTAAAATCCCAGAAATTGTACGTTGAATCTCCACTTTGTCCATTGGAAGACAAGAATTCCAATGCTAGAATAAGGCAAAATCGTTGATATGGGAGCAAAGTCAGTGCTGACGTGGTGAGTCAATGATGATGTGGCAAAAGCCCTGCTAAAGTGGTGTTGTTGACTTGGCAAGAAGTTGTTGATGTGTCACTAGTGACATGGCAAAAAAGCGATTAACACGGAAGGGTCAACGCTCATGTGGCAATGTTGACAAGGCAAGGCATGTGTAGACACGTGTGGAGGTGTGGCAAAGACAGAGGACCGTAATGGCAAAATCAGAAGTCCTAGCTGGCGTAGAGCAATAACTTAAGATTGTAGTAAGTGCTATCCTGATATGATTTAATATGCACCAGGAAAATTCCTAGGAAACTGGAGGGGTCACAAATGGTCTTATTTAAAACCCAATCTCCTTAGACATGCATATAACCATAAAAATAATACCTCATTGTCCTAAACCTAGGCTCTGATAACATGTCAGAATTCTAGAGAGAAAACAAAGAATTCTAGAGAGAAAGGTGAAGAATGAAATTGTATATTCAAGTGTATGTTTTTCCAATGTACTAGAGCTCTCTATTTATAGATTACAATACATGCTAAAATTATGCTAATGGCTAAAATCAAGCCTTGCTTGATTCAAGCCATTGATCAACCTTTGCTTGATTTTCGCTAACAATTACGATAATCATATTAATAATAGCAATCCACTACGGGCTTTTGGGTATGGTGTTTGGGGTTAGATTTAGGTTTTTTAAATTTGGGGTTACACAGATTTTTCAATTTTGAAGTGGGTTTTTTTCTTCTAATTTTTCGTTATTTAGTAATTATTTACTTATTTTTAAATTTTTATGACTGTTTTGCCCCTCTTTTGTTTAAAGTAATAGAAAATTTTTGACAAGTTACAGATGACAGGGGGTTTTACATAATTCCTAATAAAATTCTGGTACTTAAGGGGGTTTTTGTGTTTAACCAAACCTCGGGGGTTTAAATTGATCCCTATATATCTATTATACAAGTAAAACACTCTTTCATTGTGCTCCGATAATTTTTGCTTGATTAGGTTATTTTTTTATTGTAATATTAACTTTTCCCGAATATTTTATATGATATATTTTAGCAGCTAAAAGGGTTTTGATTTAGTTATAGTAATAAAATTAATTTTCTACTCTTATAGTATCACTGATTTTTTTTTTTTTTTCCTTCATCATACTTGTAAGTTTATTTAATTAATTGAAAATTATTTAATAAGACCTGCTTCACATGAAAAGTTTTAAATACAACTGATCTCTTTTAACATTTAGGTTATATTTTATAAGAGTCCCTTGATTTATAAGACATTATTTATTATTTTTTTTAAGTTATTTGACATTTGATTTAAAATAATTTAATGAGGATGTATATAATTAGTAGTTGATTTTGAACTCTCACACTACATTATGATAAATTATGAGACATTTATAACAATTTTATTGACTGAATTAGTTCCCTAAATTTCTTTTATTTTTTAACCTTGTACATTAAAAGAAATCGATCACTTAACAATTAACAATTCTAGACTGCTTCATTTCTTGCAAGCTCTACCTCTCCATGCCGATTAGCCTCATTCAATCTCTCATACGGGATTTCATTTACCTTATCAACAATTTTGCTATCTTCTTCCTCAACATTTCCACAATCCTCTTCCAACGGCTTATAAGTATAAAACCAAGCACATATTACATAGTATGCAAGATTCAACACCTGAATACCACTGACGAGCCAATAGTAATATTCCAATCTTCCCCTATTCAGATTTCTATCAGGCAACCAATTGTGTTCTTTTCCTGTGTACTTATGAACAAGTGAAACCACCAACGTTCCAATATAATTCCCGACTGATATTGCTATCCAATAAAGTGCTGCAGCCGTGCTTCTCATGCTTTCTGGTGACTGATCGTAAAGAAATTCCAAGTGCCCTACATTCATGAAAACTTCAGCCACTCCATGCAGGCAAAACTGTGGAACCAACCAAAAAACACTAATTGGTATAACGGCTTTTGGATCATCTAACATGTTATATTTGGCGGCGACTTGTTTTCTTTTGATCTCTACAAGTGATGAAACAAGAGTGGCTAGAATGTTAACCGTGAAGCCGACGCCCATTCTTTGCAGGCAGGTGATGCCTGCAGGGTTTTTAGTGAATCTACGAGCAAATGGAACGAATATTCGATCGTATAAAACAAGTCCTATGAGCATGGTTATTATACTAAAGATTGATAAGCTAGCCGGTGGGAATTTGAAGGAATGAGTTATGTGACAGTCCATTGTTCGAGCTTGTTGGATGGTGAAGCTGTGTTGATGTGATGAGGCTGTGACAAGTAAAATTCCTGCAGCCCAAATTGGCAACATTCTGACGATGGATTTTAGCTCTTCAACTCTATGGACTGTGGCTAGCCTCCACAGGTTTGGTGGACTTGAACTTGTTGCTTCACCTTCTGTTACTATTGCAGCTCTATCAAAACACCTGAAAATCATCTTACATTTTAGTAATCAAAGCGTTTAGTTATAATTCGGATTAATACAAAGTCAATTTGATTGTTTTAGGACCCAGAGAAAACATACTATAACAAAAAGTTCCTGAACTTTGATTTAGACAGAAGCAAATTTGGATATTCCAAAAATAGTGAAAATCCTTCCATGAGGAGTGTTTTTAACAAAATCTCAAGAATATTTTGAACGTAATTTCAAATTTTGACCTGCTTGACCATCCTAAATTTCTGACTTTCGTTAATTAGTCAAAAAAGTAAAATTCTAAATCCTAATTTCAATTTCGGTTCAAAACATGGGCAAGTAACGAGGCTTACTTGAACTGGTCAGTATGCAAAAGTGTTCCATGCACAGAAATGGCAATATCAAGCTCCCGATTCCGGTACAAGAGCTTGGGATCTTCAGGTACTACAGTTTTCCTCTTCTTCACAGCCGCAACAATCACTTGAGCCAATCTCGTCAAGGGGCTCCCTCCCGGTTCCAATTTCACATAAAGAGGTGACCCAAAAACAAATGCCAGAACCGACAAACCCATGGCTATGGCTGGGATTCCGAAACCCCAGTTCCATCCAACATTGTCTTGTATATAAACAACAACAGTTAAGGCAGTGAGTGTGGCCATTCCCATGCAGAAGTAATACCAGTTGAAGAAGTTCCATTTTAGCGACGAAATACTTGACTTTTTCATGTCAAACTGATCCGCAGCGAAGGTGACAACACAAGGCCTTATGCCTCCTGACCCAAGAGACGTGAGGAGGAGTGAGATGTAGAGGATCCATAGCTGCAATGTTGAGGCCTCCGTGCAGTTCTCCTGAGTTGGACATGGTGGAGGCCGCAGCGACGGGAGGATAGCTGATAAAGTGATACAAAGTAATCCCTTTCACAACAGAATATTTCAAAGCTTTTAGTTATGAGTAAATATTAGCATAACGTATTCTTATTAAAAGATGAATATAAAATGAAAATTCATTATCAATTAATGAACTTATTTTATATTTATTCAACCATCTATATTTTACCATTTTATTTTGTATATATCTCTTTACATGAGGAATTTATAAAAGTAACATTATTTTTTTAATTATATATGACAAGAGGTTTATTGCTAGTTAACAAATAATATCAATATCAACGACGTACCAAACAATAGATAATAGTGCCAGCGGTGATGGTCCAAAACCTGCCCGCAAAGGAGTCAGCGATGAGAGCGCCAATGAGGGGAGTGAAGCTGGAGGTTCCACCGAAGTTAGTGAGAGTGTTGGAGGCTTGTACTAGCGGCAAGTTTAGCACTTGGGTTAGGTACGTTATCATGTTTGCGTGGAAACCACTTGATGCAAATCTGTCACATATTTCATTTGCTGAAACAATAACCAAAACCAACAATTAATCACTTGCTCTAATCAATTCATAGGTAATTTCTTGGATATGTAACAATTAGATTCAAGAAATGAAATGAAAGAATTAAGGATACCCACCAAAAAGACTAATCCAATCCACGATGATGTATCAGAAAATACAATATTTTTGTTACTCGACCAAGTATAAGGAGAAGCAACTATTATAGATACACTAATCCAAAAACATTCAATTGGAAAGCAATAATCATTTCTAATCCTCCAAGCTACCAACAAAGACAAAGAACTATACCATTTGATCCCTCTATCAACTAAAAAAATTACTAAAAAATTTGATAAAATACGTCATAGAGAAAATTTTTTCTTAGTCGAAGAGTCCGGCGATTATTGAACAAGTAATATCAAATCCCACAATTAAATATTCATGATTTTGTCTCATAGACGTATACATTATTTAATCAGAGAATACACATGCATGCATAACTAGGTGAAGCACTTCATTATTTATGAACAACAAGGTGAAGTTTTTGGATCAATGAGACATAGGATCTCCCTCGAGGTCCATGTCTTGAAAAAACTTAAATCAAGAATATTCCTTGCCAGTTCATGTTTAATCTAGTACACAAAATAAAACTTTGTTTATTTATTTTTTTGATTTCATATATAATATATAAATATATTTCAAACTTTTGAGATGGAAGTGAATTTCCAGGACCACTTCTGTATTGTCATCGTCTCACTGCCATTACTTCATTGCTTTGTGGATCTTGAGAACTTTATCTTAAAATAATTTACAGGCTGTGACATAGTGTTGCTCACCATTAATTTTATTCTTTAAGCTGACTAATGACTCTCGTAAAATGAGTTATATATATATATATATATTAGAGAATCATTCTAACAAGCTTCATGAATGCCAATCACTTTCTTAGACATTGCTAGCTGCCACATTGTTATTATGCTCACAATTTTGTTTTTAAAAGTTAAGAAATCATTAATAATGGAAATTAACATGATGGGATTCATATGTTATTACTAACCTGGCAATATTGTTGGAGAAAAGTAGAGTTCGGCAAAATTACAAGAGTGAAACCATTGCAAAAGAGTCTCTTTTGCGTTTTCCAAGAGAGAGAGTTTTTAATGCAACACGTGAATGCAAGATAATATTAATAACATAGGAAAGAAATGAAAACTCACCAAGAATGAAGGGCATTGTTTTGATCCCTCCAAGCTTCTTCTTCCTTCTTCCATTCTGCTCTTTCTTCTCCTCAGTTTGCTGTATCTTCGACATATCATCATGAGTCTCGCTATTATTGTTGCCTAACTCCATTATTTGTGGTTTCAGGCCACTGGACTGAGGATTCAAGAAAGCTAGACACTTATGTATATATGTGGGCAAAGCAAGTTAGGACAAAAGGCAAACTAGTGATATGAAAATAAAGATGGCAAATAGGTAGGGCTCCATGATTTGACTTCATTGTCATGTGATGCGGTATCTTATGTCATAGTTTTTGACCCTTTTTCTATATTACCAACATTGTCTTTATTGCAGCCGATTTCCTTTGGTGGTTCTAGGGAGATAATTTAGATCGCTAAATCAGTCAATACCAGAAAGAAAAAATTTATAATACTCAGATGAATTTGTTTGCAAATTCTTAACTACATCATTCAAAAATATTTTAAAAACTCAAAAGAATTATGGGTATTTCATTGATGGTTGACTGACCTTTCGAGCTTAAAATACATGAATCTGATATGAGTCCACAATAGAACAAAATAATAAAGATTATAGTTATACCATACTAAAATGATATCATTTGAGCTGCCTACTGCGTTATCGGTAAGACCGGCCAAATAACACCGCCAAACGTCAGGGAGGAATCTTGGGAAAATTACAAGTCTAAAAGGACAATATCGTAACTGTCACTAAATCCACACTTTTGAATTTTGATCATGGTGTGGCAGGTTGATAATCTCCCTTTGACTAAAATTTGCACAGATAGGATTCTAATGTTCTCAAGGTAGGATTCTGAACAAGGGCGGACCCACACGGTGGTCACGTGGGGTCAAGTGACCCCACTTGGGTTTTATTTTTTTAATTTTTAAAAAATTTTCCCAATAAAAAAATTAAATTACAAAATTACACAAATTAATTAAAAATTTTGACTTTCTCTAATAACAATAAAGCTACGGACACCGGCGTTTTTACACCGAAAATGTATACCGGCCTACGTGTTCCCCTAACTCACACTACGCGTGATTAAACTATAATTATTTTTCTAGTGAACGGTCGTCCATCAAATATGGACGGCCGTTCAATTACATGGACTCTTGTCCATTTTATATGGACGGGGGTCCATTTTATATGGACGGGCGTCCCCCCCGTCCAGAAATAAAAGGAAATAAAATATTATATGGACGGGTCCATTTTCTATGGACAGCCATCCATCAAATATGGATGGGCGTTCATATTTTAATAGAAGCCCGTCCATTAACAAATCCTTTTTAAAAATATGAAAATAAAAATAAAAAAAATTGGGGAAGCCCTTACATTTGAACGGGCGTCTGTAAGAAATGGACGCCTGTCCATTATTTTGGTTTACAAATCAAAATAATACTTTGGACGGCCGTCCTTTAACTCTGGACGGGCGTCCGTAAGTAATGGACGCCCGTCCATTATTTTGCTTTTTAAAAACTAAAGAAAAAATTAGGACGGCCGTCCATAAACTGTGGACAGCCGTCCCTTACCTTTGGACGGGCGTCCGTAAGGAATGGAAGTCCATCCATTCCTTTGCTTTTTAAAAATAAAATTAAAACTATGGACGGTCGTCCATAACTTGTGGACACCCGTCCATTAAGTGTGGACGGGCGTCCTTAAGTTATGGACGCCCGTCCATAGTGTAAAGGATGGTCGTCCAATCTCTATGGACGGCCGTCCATAAGGAATGGACGGTCGTCCATAGGTATTGGACGGCCGTCCTTTACTGTACTTAAAATAAAAAATAAATAAATAAATAAAAAACCATCAAGCATTAGGTTAAAAATTTTGGGGAAGCTTTATTTAAAATTTAAAACACACAACCATCACTAGCTATCATCTTCGTCTTCCATCTGAGTTATTCCTTCTTCGTCTTCGCGCTCTCGTTCTTCTGGATTCCTGTTCTGCGCTTGTTCTTTGTCTTCCTCATCTTCCATTGGTAATTATACACTTTCGTTTTTGAATTTTTTTTTTTTTTTTGTTGGATGAATGTGTTGAATGGAGTTGAGTTGATAAAGAGAAATCCAGTCAATTTGGTGGGACTGGTTTGTGTGATTGATAAATAGAAGTGTTCTGCCATTGATAAAGAGAAATCTAGTTTATTTTGATGAATGTCTTAGGCCTGAATTTGATTCTCTGTATTTACACTACATGCCATTGGATGAATGTGTTAGGCCTGAATTTGATTCTCTGCATTTAAACTGCATGTAATCTTGAAACTGTTTCTGTCAAATTCAAACAAAATAAAGTACAAATATATTGCTTGGTTTTTCATCTGTAGAGACAAAATATTTGGTCCTTGGGAATAATTTTGCAGTGGTTAAAGTTTGGTCGAGAGCTGCAATTCTGATATGGTGCAAAGTTTATTGATAGAAGTTTATTTTATATTTTAGGTGTGTGATTGATGGATAATAAGATGGTTGAGATATGTGCAGCAGGTTATTTGATTGATATCAAGAATCATAGTCCATTATAGTGGCTTCATGTAAATTTTTCCTGCAGATAACTAAATTAAGTGACATTTCTTGGTGATGTTGGTTCAATAGCAACAGCTGTTGTTCCTAAAATAGTTCATTTTATTGTATTTGTTTCTTGACAATTTTTCCACTAAGGGATAGTCTATGTGGGTGATTTTTTATGGTCTTCATGCATGTTTCTTCTACTGAATTGATTATGGTTTTGGACTCAGTGTTTAAGGGTAGTAAATCCTAGAAACCATTCACAGTTTTATTTAGTTGTCGCTTTTTTTTTTTTTTGGTTGATAGGGAACAAACTGTAACTTGTATGTTAATGATGAGAACACCATACCAGGCTGCAAAGAATTCTGTTAGTAAACATATACTGCTTGCAGAGTTTTGCCCATTTCAATTCTATATATATATACCAGTTTATTTGCAGTTACAGAGTTGTGTCAGTGAGTTTTTACTAACAGAATTCTTTTAAGCCTGGTATGGTGTTCTCATCAATTTCTAATTTCTAAACTGAATTCCCCTTACTGCCCCTATCCACTGAATTTACCAGCTTGCCCTTTTTCTTCTTCTTCTTGTACAATTTAGTTATAGGAGGCTTATCAGTTAATATATTCTTTTATTTTTTTTTATTTTTTTATTTTTTTTGGTTTATTGCTTGGAAACAATATTTAGGCTTGTCCACAATGCATGAGTATTTCATGTTTTCATTTTCAGAATGTCATAGGATCAACTGGTATAGTTTGCCAACATAACAACTATAATAATTTCATATGTCCACAGTTTACTGCATTGACAGATCCATCTTCATTGTTGTGACATCCTTTGTAACTATTGATGCCTTGACTCTGATGATTACTATAAGGCAAGAGTTAAGCTCAAAACAGTTTGTTCACTGAAAAATGTAGGTCATTTTGACTGTCAAAACCACTTCTAGTGTCAAATATGCACAGACCTCACACAATCCTTTCTATGTTGTATAAATTGAGTTCTTATCTCAAAGTGTATATGTTAAGAGTAATTGAATCTGTAACTTTGGTAGATTATGATGACGACTTTTTTTATGTATACAGGTTTTAGAAGAAAGCAGAAAATGGTGACGGCAAAAAATATAACCATTCCTCAGGAAGGCACATCCTCATCTGCAATTCAATTTCGAGACTTGCAACATAAAAAACAATACGAGAACGTGTCGAAAAGAGATATTTGCCTTGGAAGAAGTTTGGATTTAGGACTTCTAACAAGTTTAGGTTTAGGTGATGAAATCAATTGTTGGATTAATAATTTGAAATGGGACCGTTTGGTCAGTATGAGATATGATGGATATAGACATTTGATATATGAGTTTTTTGGTAGTTTGGAAGTTGCAGAGACAGATAGTGATGAGTTTCAGGCGTATACAATGTTCTTTAGATTAAAGAATCAGAACTTTGTAGTGACACCACAAGATTTAGCAACCTGGATAGGATTTGATTGTAAAGGTTTGGAAAACCTATCTAGAACCTGAGATTCAAACAAGCTTGGATTGATGTTTCCGGGATAGGGACTTACCATCCACATAGGTGTAAATCTATAAAGTTAAAGAATCCTACTATGAGAGTATTTCACAGATACCTGACTTTCACATTTAATAGTAGGAAAGAGACAAATGGAAATGTGACGGCTAAGGATTTAATGTTCATGGAAGCAGCAGTAGCAAGGAGGCAAGTTAATTTAGTGAAGTTATTGATTAAGAAGTTGGGAGAGATTCAAGTAGAAAAAGGAGAAATATATTGGGGGATGCTTGTTACGTTAATATGTGAGAAGTTGAATATTGAGATCACCCCTGATGATGCAACAAATAAGATTACGTTTTCTACAAATAATGTGTTGGGGGATGTGACATTGAATAAAATGGGTTTAATTAAAAAGAATATGGCAGGACAATGGTTTGTGATTAGGGATGAAATGGAGGGAGATACAACAGTTCAAGAAGGTGTCAGTATTCCAGAAGGGGTTAATGAAGGACAAGTCTATGTGCGCAAAAGAAGAGGAACAAGTACTAAACCTAGATCATCTAAGAATGTAGAAGATATGTCTTCTCATACTTTACAGGAAATAGAAAGCAGATTTGAGCGGATGGAAAAGTTTCAAGAGGAGCGTTTTTCACGTATTGAGAGGCAAATGCAAGAACAACATGATCAATTGCAAAGTGATTTCAACACGTTTGCATCAAGAATTGAAGAAACAGTTGATATCATTGGGGAATGCATGACAGAGATTTTCAGCAGGATGAAGAACTTCTCAATAGCCTCCTCATCCTCCAGTCAACCTCCACCCCCTGCACTATGATGAAGAATTTTTGCCTTTTGTTTATAAATAGATTGGTTTGAGTGGATGTTGTTAATAAAGATTGTGTTTTGTTTATAAATAAATTTATCTTTTGTTTATAAATAGATTTATCTTTTGTTTATATATATGTCAACAACTCTTTTCAATGTATATGTATATGTAATACTAGACATACCGAAGGACATAAAAATTCAAATCTCAAATGAAATGCATATCCAAAATGCCATGTACAACCGGAGTCTGCAATGTGACGATAATATATACTGAAAACATTCATAATAAGTTACATTAACGTCATTATCATGAATTCACTACCCTACACAACCAATGACG